GCTCGAGTCTAGTTTGATATTTCGGGTGCCATTCGTAGGTTAAATGAGTCTTAGGAATTGCATGCTAGTGGAATTGGTAACCCGTTAACCTAGGCGGAAGTTGTATGAACCCTTAGGACTATTCTTTGTATGTGGATGACCACACGTGAGTTTATTTATATGTCTTTCCCCTCCCAATATGCTATTACGTGCTCCTATGTGTTATGTGTTGCATGATCCCCCATTTTGGTTACAGAGCAATTGGGTGATTCCCGGACTGAGGTTCGGAAGTCGGCTGAAGGCCGAATGGATTGTTCCCGGACTAAAGGTTCGGAAGTGGCTGAAGGCCAAATGGATTGTTCTTGAGCTAAGGCTCAGAAGTTGGCTAAAGGCCGAATTGATTCACTTCTTGGGCTGCGGTCCACATGGGCCTCGGTGCTATGACCCACCGACCTGGACGCGCTAGGCGGTGTGTAGGGCCAATAAGCCGAGGAAGGCTGTAGTCCACAGACTTGAGTAATCAGGCAGTGTGTAGGGCTACGGCTGGCTGCGATCCACCGAGTGATGGGACAGCGGTGTGTAGGGCCGTACTCTCCGAGGATCTTCGCACACTGACTGAGTCTAGCTCAGCGGTGTGTCGGGCTTGATCCGCTACGGTCCACCGACTGTACGCATCAACGGTGTGTAGGGTCGTAAGTCCCCCCATGTAAAGGGGATCGCGGTCCACCGACTATGCGCGTCAGCGGTGTGTCGGATCGTGGTCCGACGTTGAGTTCATTAGCGGCTCTCAAAGGGTTGGTTGCGATCAACTCCCCTCATACCACGGTACTGAGGTAGGGTGCAGCGGGGCCGTGTTAATGCTATAAGCATTAACCCTCATGTTCGGGGCATGCGATTGGTCCCGTGGCGCCATCAACGATTATGTGATATGAATGATGATTGAATGGTGATGTGTTTGAATCAAAAAGTGTTCTGTGACCTTAGATGCGTATTCCTTATAATGCTATCTCTACTTAACTATTTATCATTGTTTGATGTGTTTGTCCCTACTTGCTGTGTCTATTCCCCGTTTTAAAACTAGTGTCTCTTAAGTATATATCTTCCTGCTTCAAAATGATTTTCGTATATCTGTATATATCTATCTATATTATATTTCAACGCGTTGGAGTGGGTTACCAGCATCTCTCGCTGAACAGATATATTTGGCTTTTAGGCACAGATGAGTAGATCCCAGAGCGCGCTAGAGATCCGAGGCATAGAGTAGCTAGTTCCCTTTCGGCCTGCGTGCCATGATTATGTATTGACGTTATTTGAGGATTTTAGTTAGTTAGCCTGTGCACCTGAGTTCTCTAGCTCAGGTGTGGCAAAACACCCCATACTCTTATGCTTGATTTTGAAATTTAATAAGGAATTACCTTTATTATACAAGTTTTAAAAGTTTCAAAATTTCGAGGTGTTACACTATGCTTCAGGAATAGTTCTCTTGTCTCCTTACATTTTTCCATTTTAGTATGGGTAAAGAAGACATTTCACCTTATGTTTGTATCCAAAGCTAACCTAGAGTCATCTTTCATTCTTTCCCTAACACTCTCAAAACAAAAGCTCATCCTTCTCTCTAGAAATTTAGCTAGCTTCTTCTTCAAGCCAAGTTTGGGCATTCCAAGATCTTTCAAGTTGGTCTCCACGATTCCACCTTTCTTACTATTGAGCATATAGGAGGGTAAGATCTTTGGTCCTTTAGTGTTTTTGGTACCTTTTAAAGTATCTTTTTCTAAAGATGAAATCTTTGTTGTCTTTTGGTGTGTTTTTGAAGTTGGTGTTGAAGGAGAGCCTTGTTACAAGCTTGTAAAGGTGTAATAAGTGAAGGTTTAGGCTACAAGAGGTAACCCATGCTTTACAAAATCTAGTTTCTTACGTATATGATGATTTCTTGGATTCCACTTGTGATTTTTGCTATGAAATGTGAGTTTTGATGCATTGTCTTGTGAGAATGCATATCTAGAGCTTGTTATTAGGGTTCATGTATGCCATTGCTTGGCTATTCCTTTGATTCAAGTCATGTCGTTGCATTTTGTGAGATTTTGGATGTTTGGGACTTGAATTTGGACTTGGTGTTGAAAATCCCCGAAGGGATTATATTGGTACAGGGCATGTACCCGCGGGCGGAACGGCGGGTAGTACACCACCCGCCGGCCCACTCATGGGGTACTAGTTGCGTGGGATGTGGTTCCCGTAGGCGGAACCATGGGTGGGGGTCCACCAGTGACTCCACCCGCGGGGTTCATATATGTGGGTTGTTGGGGATTTGTTCCCCGTGATTCTTTTGACTCGGTAATTGATGTTTTAACTTCCCGATGTTCTTTTGTTGGGCTTTTGAGTGTCTTCTTGATGTTTCGTATGTCTAGAACTACGTGGTAGGAATCCATCTAGGTTTTTGGTGTCTTGAATCGTGCTAAGTGTTCAACCTTGTGATTCGTTGAACCATGATGAGTCTTGCATGTTATTCAGAACTATGTTATGTTTACCTGTTTGATAAGCATGCTAGTTCGGTGTTAAAATGCTAGCGTATGTGGTTTGTTCTTTCCTAATGTGGATGATGATTTGTGTTGATCATCGTTGTTGTCGGATTGTGATCCTTCTCTTATTGAGTATGGTTTCATATCTTTGTTGTGATCCATTGATTGATTCCTATGATGATGATGTGTGTATTGGTTGTACTTGGATTGCACGATTAATGGAATGGGACATTAGTCACCAAGGTACGGCAGTGGTCCTCGTGGCGGCCATGACGTGATTATGGAGTTGTGACCTGTGTGTCGGGTTCACGTGTTTTGGGTGGCTTCGGCCGTGTGTTGTGAACGGTACCCTCGTGTACTATGTGTTGGTGGAAATTGTTGGTGGTTGTTGGTGGGGGAACGACGGTTCCTGGAGGCATAAGGTTGGACTTGGATGTACAGGGGTCGTGGAGGTAATGGTTGGAACTAGTTATATGGTTGGGGGTAGCCATAAGGTTGGAACCGGGCATAAGGATGGATTATTATATTCGTGATGAGTGATGTCACGAAGGCATGTGTTGCCGATGTGTGTTCCTCTATTCTTACCTGTTGAGCATGTCAGGTGGTATTCTACTGGGTGATGGTAGAATACACCTTGAGTTGTACTTGTGCTGTTGTTGTCATTTTCTTAATGTGTTTGGGATGTGTTTCCTCTTGTCCTTGTTGTGAGTGATATAGAGTCTTTGCGGTTGACTTCTATCTCTGGCTTTGAACTGATATATACAGTATTCTGTTTCGAAAATGATTTTGTATAATACTATCTATGTATGATATTTAACGCGTATTGATGGGTTACCAGCATTATTCGCTGACCGGGCGTCGTCCCATTTCTTTATGTGCTTTTCAGGTCCTGAATAGTCGGCGAGCACGTTAGAAATGGCTAGATTAGACTCCCTGGATAGTTTAGATTGTGCTTTGGGCCTGTGTGCCTCTTTTGTTAAATACATTAGTTTGTTGTTGTCAATTCTTGCCTGTGCGTTCACATTGATGTGAACGTGGCATAATATTCCCTGTTTTCTGGCTTTATATAGTATACTTCCGCTATGCTATGCTTTTTATGTTTTTGTGGTTAGCTATCTTGCATAATTAAGTTTAAAATGGCATGAAAATCGGGGGTGTTACAAAGGCTCCCTCTAAATAACTCACTCAAAGTAGGTACGGGGCATGGACACACCTACATATTATATAAAACCTTCCTAATCTTATAAATATTGTTGTACGATTTTCCCTAAGCTTATATATATGTCATGCCTGATTTTCCTTTTTCCACTATCCTTATCGTCATAATTTTTTTGAATGCTACTAGCTCTATTACATTGTAGTATCTGTTCATATACTTTCTCAACCTACTGAAACACAAAGAGCTAATAACGCCTCCACTGAAGCTTGAACTTACAACCTTCCAAATGAAAGTCCAACCCGGGTACCATTAGACCACATAGTCCTGGTATATCTGTATTTTATATACTAATCCTAATATATGGAAACCGGAGTGAGCCGGTAGAACTCACATTGGAATTCTAAATTATTTTCACGATTGGCTTATGATTCCTCTTGGTGGTTAAGTTGAGAGCTTAAAGACTCTACACTCGGTATCTACTCCTCCTTGATAAATATGATACATTTTGGAAAAATGACGTGGAATGTTTTGAAAAATGATTATTTACTAAGTAATACTTGGACAAACTCTACTATGTTAATTGTACAAAAATATACATACATATATATATATATATATATATATATATTATATATATATATATATATATATATATATATATGGTTTGCGAAAGTATTAGAGTATATAAATACTTTAATTCGAAAATTTATATAAAAATCCAAGCCTATTATTTTACGGGGTGAAGTGAAACTTACTTAGCTTACGCTAATTTTTGTCTACACCCTATTTTGTTGCAAATTATTTTTACAGGTGAACATGGATAAAATGATTCAAGATGAATTCAAGCTAAGAAGGAATTAAGAATAGACTTATTGGAGATTTATTATTTGAGAAGCTTTATGGTTGTATATCATTATCCTTTATTGTATTATTAATATTATAGAAGTTGGATTCGGGTTGAGTTTATTCGATGTTGTAATTTTAGCCTTAGCACTTAGGTTGTTGGTTGCCTAAGTGTGGCGGTAACACCCTTTATTTTGGTTAGTTAATGCTTCCGCTAGAGTATTATTGAACTTTTAATTGAGAAAAAGTATTAAAATTAAGGAAAATTTTGTTATAAAATTTGGGGTGTTACAACCACACCAAAAGATACATCTCAAGGTAAAAGGTAGGCTCAAGAAGGATACATGTAGTCTCCTCCTCCACTAAGTCGTCGGCCTCAGCCTGCGATCTGCTCATCACAAACACTCTGCCAGAAGGCTTCGTCCCGCCCGAGCCAAGACTGGAACTCCCTCCTTAGAGTCCACAGGGTCTGGTGCTAGATGGCAAGGCTCCCTCTGGATAACTCACTCAAAGAAAGGTAACAAGGAGAACCACACAAAAAGGTACATCTCAAGGTAAAAGGTAGGCTCAAGAAGGATACTTGTAGTCTCCTCCTCCACTAAGTCCTCGGCCTCAGCCTGCGATCTGCTCATCACAAACACTCTGCTAGATGGCAAGGCTCCCTGGTCAGACTGGAGGTGGCACTCATAAGCCTTGTGGCCTCTCCTTCCACACTTGAAACATTGGAGCAGATTACCTTGACAATCTTTCCCGATATTCTCCTTACCACATCTCCTACATCTGAAGGGTTTCCCTTTTCCCCCACTTTTGACCCGAGTCGATCCTTGAGACTGAGGAGGTGCGGGTCTTGCTCTAAAATCTTGCCTTGGCCTTCTTGAAACTTTGAGATCCACTCCCTTCGCTTCTCTTCCTAGCGAGCTCATTGGATCCCCTTTGAAGCTGTTAAATTAGGTACAGGTCGGCTGCACTCAGATAGGCCTCATTGAGCGTCCTAGGCTTGCTCACTGTCAACGCTTTCCGGGCTTCGTAGTTGAGCCCGCGATGAACTTCTCCACCTTAGCCAACTCGGTGGGAACCAACATCCTTGCAAAGAGAGCCAACTCGAGGAAGCGTTTGTGGTACTCCACCACAGTCGATGACCCTTGTTAGAGATGCAGGAACTCTTCGTACATGGTTGCCCTAACGTGAGACGGGTAGAACCTCTCCCTTAACTTATCCTTCAAAGCTGACCAATCGAAACCTGGCTCTTCTTGGCACGCTGGACCTTCATGCACCCACCAAAGGTCTGCCTCGTGGCTAAAGTAGAACGTAGCCAACTCGACGCGGCGATCATCCGGACAACCCACCACAGCGAAAATATTGTCCAAGGACCTGATCCACTCCTCAAGCAGGACAGGGTCCTCTTCTCCGGCAAAGACGGGTGGCCTATGCCCAGAAACTAAGCGGCCCACATCTCGATTCCCGACAGGCGGCGGCGGAGGAAGGTTGTTGTTGTGCAAGAGGGCGTCGCTCAACGTCTGCATCGTCTGAGTCAGGTGATGTAGGTTCTAAGCCAGCTGCTCATTTTTCGGCGTCTCCGGGGTACGGGCACGATGGCGAGGCAGAGCCATAGCGAGATTCTACAGAAACAACACGGTTACGGCAAGACACAAAGAAGCTGCGCACCCTTACCCAGTACTTAAGACGAGAAAGCTAATACTAAACAAGAACAAGCGGATAAACACAGCGAACGACAAACAAACTCACATCTCACTGCGCGTCCTAAGGATCTTAAGTCCTAACACTTAGGCACTTAAAGGTCAACTTAGAGTCTTAAATCACACTTAGCTTCGTAAAGTTCAATCCTTAACATCCTAGGCTCAAACCTAAGCTCTGATACCAACTGTAACACCTTCGATTTTACCAACATTTTAAAACTAAAATTCAAACGATAAACAACTAATCATTAAGGCAATCGAAAGCAGAAGCTATTAAAACCAGGAAAGGTGTTATGCCACACCCATAAACCATGGGTGCACATGCTAAATCTATCACAATCATTAAGCATAACAAGTCTAGGCACACAAGCCACTAATCTAGGCACACAGTCCAACAAAAGATAAACGTCAAAGCACATGAGCTACACTATCTAGAGTCCACATCTAGCGCGTTCGTCATCTACTCAAGACCTGTAAAACATATGGATAACACCCGGTTAGCGAATAATGCTGGTAACCCATCAATACGCGTTAAATATCATAGTATAGATAGATATAATCAAAGCCATTTGGAACTGAGGAATACAATATATAGTCATTTCAAAACCAGAAGAAAATCAACATCAAAGACTCATCACACTCTCAATAAGAACGAGGATCATCAACCTCAACAAGACAACAAACCACAACAACAAGGGACAACGTAACTCTAGATGCAACCTACCATTCACAAGGTAGAGTTCATCAAACACATGCTCGTACAATTAGAATAGTACCAAGGGAATCGTACAATCACATAATGACACATTCATGTTTCAAGTTCCAACCTTATACCTTAGTACCACCCTTATGGTTACCCCCGGCCTTATCACAGTTCCAACCTGTACCTCCAAGTGCCACCCTGTACTTCTGAGTCCGACCTTTTCCCGGTCTGGGACCGTCGTCCCCCACCAATTAGAATAGTACACAAGGGTACTGTTCAATTCATAGTCATATACCACCGATCTCAAGTGAGCAAAGCTCAAGTAACAAAACCACCAATCTCATTCATAGTCACACATAGTCATCATCATCAAGAGGACTAAGGCTCATCAATAGCTCTAATTAAGTATCAACAAAGGGTACAACAATTTGTACAAGAATACACTATAAGAATCAATCAAGGGATTTCAACAAAGTCATGAGACAATACTCAACAATCAAGGATTACAATCCAACATCAAAATGGTTGGTAATGCGAGTTTCCAACCCAAGACAAGAAGGAACAAACCATACATACTAGCATATCAACGTCAAACTAGCATTCTCATCAAAAGGATAAACCAAAAGGGTTCCAACGAACCTTCAAGACTCATATTAGCCCAACGAATCACAAAGTTGGACCCTTAGCACGATTCAAGACACCAAATCCTAACATGGATTCCTAACACATAATTCTAGACATATGAAACATCAAGAAGACTCACAAAGAGCTCAATAATCAAGCGACGGGGGGTCAAAACATCAACACCAAGAAGAAAAGAATCACGGGGAACAAATCCCCGCACCAACAATAATGGTTCCCCGCGGGTGGGGCGGCGGGTAAGCTACTACCCGCCGTTCCGCCCGCGGGTACACACCTGTACAATATTTCCCTTCGGGGATTTTCATCAACAAAGCCAAGTTCAAGTCCAAAACACCCAAAATCTCACACACAACAAAGATATGACCTGAACCCAAGAATAAGCCAAGCAATGGCATTCAAGAAACCTAAATACAGGCTCTAAACATGCATCACCAAAATATCATGCATCAAATCTCACAAATCACACCAAGAACATCAAATAGAAGCAAATAATTATCATTTAGGTAAGAAAATAGGTTTTGTATATCATGGGTTACCTTTGTAGCTTAACAACTTCTCCTTTTCACCCTCTTAAGCCTTTTCTTTGAGCTCTTCTTCCACACCAACTTCTTACACAAACCAAAACACAAGAAAGATTCTAAATTTAGATAAAGGCACCCAAAAGATTGCTAAAAACACTAAAAAGCTATGAACCTTACCCTTTCCTATGCTTGGGAAGAAGAAAGTAGGAATCTTGATGAAGGATCTTGCAAGGCTATGAAGTTCTCCTTTTTGCTTGAAGAATAAGCTAGGTTCTTTTAGAGAGATGCTAGAGTGTTTGAGACTTAGGCTTTGAGTGAGAAATGAATGAAATGTCTTGCTAGGGATAGCTTGAACAAAAATTCATGGGTGAAAGGTCACTTTTACCCTTACTAAGGTTGGAAAGACAAAGGGACAAGGGCACAAACCATAAAGCACAAGGTACACTTTATTGACTTAAGTGACTAGTCAAATTCTAGTCCATCGACTATTAAATTTCAGGATTTAGAAATGGTTTACCAAAGAAAGCTTGGATTAATTCTTCAATTAATCCCCAATTAGTATTTAGATTTATGGGGTGTCACACACTGACTACTTTCACACACTTATGATTCTCATAGTTTCTCATGAAGGGGACTTGTGTGGAGCTTCCACTAAGGAGGTGGAACTCGTGATCCTTCGTCATCGATTCATCAAACTTTTGAGTCCAAGCTCCATTAAAATGTAGTGCACTTGCAAAACTGAGCCTTGTTGTATTGTTAACATCAATGGCGGAGAGTATGTGGTTGATAAGACCTTTAGTTTCTTTCTCAGCCCACAAATTCACTTCATCAACCACTTCACTTGCCTGGACAATCAACAACAACATCAAACTTTAATTTCTATCATAATTAATGAACAGGTAGATGGATTCTCCAAATTCTAAAAACATGACGAAGAACAATTCATATTTTTCAATTTTAAAAAAGAGTTAATTCCAGCAATGGTCCTCCGACTATTGCGATTTTTCAAAATTAGTCCTCAACTTTTAATTTGGACGAAAAAAGACACTAGACTTTCGCATTTGTTCCAACATTGGTCCTTCTATTATCCATTCGTTTGTTAGGTGTTAAGTTAGGGCTAAAATGGTCTTTTACTTAGGCTAGGCTTAAAGAACTGGAAAGTGAGAAGGAGAAACCATTTGCACGGAGCAGAGATGACCCTGAACTGGACAATTAGTTGAAGGACAGGTTGAGATGGGGTGACCCCATGGCACATTTAGTCAAGAAAAGCGAAGCAGGTTTTGCCTGACCTCATTGCAGATGCCAAAATGAAAGAATCAGGTTTCATAATTCCCCAAGCGGTTATCTTTTTCAGCGAATTCTCCCACCAAAATTGCAACAATGGTTACTTCATCGGAGACTGAGGCGGCCATTATATTGGCCTCACTCGATGAAGCCTTCTGCAGATTCTTCAATGCCTTTCTGGGTTTTCCTTTCTTCGCCGGATTAGCGTCGGCTGTAGCAACGTCAGCCATGGCTTTTAAGGGAGGAGGTCAGACAAGGAGAGAATGCGAGGGTTGATGGCATCGACTAATCTTCAGGAAATAGGGTTGATATACAAAGGGGGAAGATCGAGCCAAGTGGGGAGAAGTGTAACTGTTAGATTTTTTGAAATTAAACAGAGTGGTATGTTCTGTTATGAAATTAAACTGTGATGATATACCTTGTTTTCTCTGAGACAGGTGGAGTGCAAAACATAGAGCGAAGAGTAGTCATGTGTCTTTGGAGATTTGAATTCGAGTTTGAAGCTAAGCCCATAAGAAGAAGAAGTAATAGTGTGAAGCACTGCAAGTGGTAGATACGTATTTGCAAGAGGAAGAAGAAAGCAATTAAGAAAATGACTACACTACCCCTCTACTTAACACCACCCTAACTGATGTTTGACGGAAGGACCATTGCTGGAACAAATTTGAAAATCGAGGACCAATTTTAGAAAGTTGCAATAGTCGGATGCTGGAATTAACTCTTTTAAAAAATAATTCTATGAAAAATCAACCCTAGAAATCTAACCTTGTTTTGAAAATCAACCGATTCAGTAGCGCCCTTGTAAACATTGTCCACCACATGCTTGAATGAAGGTTTTAACGGCAGAGTGCGGCCGATCCACAAACCGTTGGCCACCGACAAGCATGGGCCGCCGGTAAGGCTGCTGTCTGCGAGTATATTGCCAACAATCTGAGAGTAAAATGTGTTGAGATCGTCGGTGGAGTCTGAGTTGAGAAAAGCGAGGAGCTGGTCGCGAGTTGGGGAATCGGAGCCGGCGGCGATGAGGCTCAAGATGGCGTTAATGGAGAGAGGAGATAAAACTAGGTTGGAATCTCCTACGGCCTCTATAGAGAAAACGTGTTTCGCTAGCTTTAATGAAAGATCCACCTGATTCTTGATCGGTTTACAGTTAACGTCCATGTTTTCATAATTGGCCAGCCAGGACTTGAACCTTAAATTATTCTCCAAAGTTTGAATTCCTAACCGCACGAGCCCCTCAGGCTCCGGCGCTATAGAGGATCGGCAAGGGGGCCGCGGGGCTTGAGTGATTTTTGAAGACAATTTTTTTTTATTTATAATGAGGATGAAGCAAAGTCCCAAGGAAGAGAATGACACCACTAAATTCTTCTCGAATGGCAAACAGAAAGGGATGGTCAGCCACAAAGTCTGTTTTATCTTCTTTCTTTACCATGCAACCTGCCCCAGCCGCGAGCACTGTAAATGAAACAGCTGCGGCTTCTGTTCCTCCCTCATTAACCTCAATAAATGATCTCTGCAGGATTTTTGAAACATAGAGATCGAAACTCTCCGGTGAATCCACCATCTCAATGAGAGTGCCACCCGTGGGGGTGAACGACACCACCATCCCAAGCTCCGTCAGAAATCTTGAAGCTTCAAACTGGAAAGATATTTAGAATTTTGGGATCCGAAACTTGCCCACTGAAACCGTATAGCAGGGAGGGAGGTGGCGCTCTAGAAACCCAGATTCAGAGCTCACTTTATCCAGCAAAGATGGCAGTCCATCCACGGCATCCGGCAAAAAGAAGTACATGGCGAAACAATGTCGTCGAAACAACCTGTTGCAACGGTACGTGCCTCATCATCACAAGATTGGCAGATCACATTGTCGAAACAAGAATAGTTAATGAGACACATCAAAGAACCAAAGTTCTTATACCACCCCCTTCTGATACGAGATTGCCCTTCAGGTGTACGTGGTTTTTTCCCGAGTCACCCATCTTGATGGCCTGAAGGTTTTAGCTCTAGACAAGGATAGACAAAATTCTGTTACTACTACCAATGTCGTCTACAAAGAGATTTTTAATAATGTGTAATTCAAACCAGTGATATTATGTTTTTTTAATAGAAAGATGACAAAAATTGCTATATATCTACATAGAAAATATATATCTTCCGTACAAAATAATTTCTACAACTAAGTTGTTAGACAACGAGCTAATTAGCCCAATTAATACAAATCTTAAACACTGATATATAAACTCTCTAAAATTTCAGCACCGGATGCGTATATCTACAAATCGTTAGCTATTAATTGGATAATTATTTGCTCGAATTAAAGCAATGATAACATCAGAAAACATAATCAATCCAACTCAATTCTTCAATTGCACTATATAATATTCGATGTTATAATTTATAGAATTATATATCGACCCAAATATTCTTAAAATATTATAACAAATCAATTCTGCAACGCACGGGTGAAAATACTAGTATTAATAATAATAATAACAACAACAACAACAACAACAACAACAACAACAATAATAATAATAATAATAATAATAATAATAATAATATTATTATTATTATTATTATTATTATTATTATTGTTATTATTGTTATTATTATTATTATTATGAATGTCCTTATATATATATTTTTACATTTAATCGCTAATAGTAAAAAGTTAATTTTACCAAACATCTTTTCACAAGCCACTGGTCAAACTCGCTAACACTATCCGCTAACCGCTAACCGCGGATTGCCAAACAAATTCGAAGTGCATAAATAGGAAAAGGAATCCATCTTTACGCAAATAAATTAAGGAATTCATATTTACGCAAATAAATTGAAAAATGAATCTTCAAAAATTACTATTACGCAAAATATAAGTAATCTGCATGTGTAGAATTCAAATTATTATTATTATTATTTGTGTAATATTCGAATTATTATTATTTGTGTAAATAATAATTAATAAATTATTATTTCCTTATAAAATTTTACAGAATTTTCAAGAAATTTTTTATTTATTACGCAGAATTTATTTTCATTATTCTCACAATTATAATGATTTTATTATTTCTTAGAATTTGGTAACCAGTTTTAATTTTTTATATATTGACATTAATTTGTGGTAACAATTCATTTGATATTAATTAATTTCCATATAAAATTTTGTTACTAATTAAGCTTTATTTAATTTTTTTACCAACTAATTAATATTCATATTAGTTTGAGCAGGAAAGTTGAAGATAAAGATTTTACTTTTATTAATAGTATAAATTATTATTATTATTATTATTATTATTATTATTATTATTATTATTATTATTATTATTACTACTACTACTACGATTAGTAATTTTAATTTAGAATTGTATTAGGAATAGGAAAGTAGGAAAGAATATATTGTATTAGGAATTGTATTACCAAATTTTAATGTACAATTGTAGTACGAATATGAATTGTATTACCATATTTTTACAATATTACGCAAACGTTAATAGTATAGGAGTCTTTTAGGTGGAAAGTTAAATTGGGGATTTTGTTTTTATATATAGTATAGATTAGATTCGGAAAAATTTTCATAAGGGAAATTTAATTTTTTTCATATTTGGTCCCACGACTTTCAAAAAATTGCAACATTTGATCCTCAAATCTAATTTCCGGTCATTGATAATCAAACTTGTTTCTCTATTCTATTGAAACTGAGTCCATAATAATGAATTGACTTATCTTGAAAGATAAAATTGTCATTTTCTAAGACATTTTACAACTAAAAAATTTAGTCACTGATGACAAAAAATTAGGCTAGAGGACCAAATGTGGCAAGATTTAAAAAGTCATGAGACCAAAGTTATGGTATCAAAAATAGAAAAATTATTAATCGAGGACCAAATATAGAAATGATTCAATAGTTGTGGGACCAAAAGTGAAAATAAAACTCACTTGAGCCTTTTATTTTGTTGCACGTATATTTTGAGCATAAGTCATTGTCATTATATCAAACCTAATCCATGGATAAAATTATTATTTATTAATCATTACTAGGTTGAGCCTAAGTCAATTTTTTTTTTTTTGTTGAATACCACTTATTATATTACAATATAGTATCTGTTCATAACTAGTTTCTCAACTAAATGAAACATAAAGACTAAGACTCAAATGTTGGAAATTTATATAGTAATGGAGATTAATGTTTCAGATGAACTACCATGAAAGTTTAAATAATATTTGGAGTTGTGGAGTTGTAAATACTATTTTAGTTACAATTTTCTCTCCCTGTGTCCTAGGGTTTCCCTAATTTCCCCCCTGCGATCTAGGGTTATGGCGTACGTACATGCGAACAGCACCATTGAAGCAGCCTGCTCACCTCCAAATGACATGCAAGAAATAATAACACACACGGCAGAGATCACGCTGGACGATGAAGAACAAGGTGTCTGGTTCGAAGATGAAGAACTCGGCATCCAAACCCTACCGGCGGCGAAGGAAACCTGGACCATTGTTGGCCGGTTTTTGACAGATCGGATCCTCAAGACCGAGGTGATGAAGCGTGTTATGGCTTCGGCTTGGAAGCCTCTGATGGGTATTGAGATAACGGATGTGCAGCCCAATTTATTCTTGTTCACCTTCTTTGATGAGCCGGACATGAAGCGGGTTATGGATGAGGGTCCTTGGGCGTTTGAGAATGCGACGCTGCTATGCCAGGTCTTGAATGATGGTGAGGATCCGTTACAGGTTAGTCTTAATACTGTGGACTTATGGGTACAGGTTTCGGACATCCCCCAGGGATACCGTACGGTTAAAGTGTTGGAAAGAATTGGAGACTATGTTGGGGTGTTCTTGCGCTATGATGAACGAAATTTTGAGAGACAATGGACTTCCTTCTATAGAGTTAGAGTCACCCATGATGTCTCAAACCCCTTGAAGCGGCGGATGAAGATGATTCTAAGAGATGGGTCCTGGACATGGATTAATTTCAAATATGAACGCCTCCACATGTTTTGCTTTTTTTGCGGACGAATGGGCCATACGGACAAATTTTGCATACAAGCTCGCCGTTCGTTGTTGAGACCGGAACAATATCCGTTTGGGGCGTCGATGAGGGCGGGGGGTACAAATTCGGCCAAAGTGTTGGGGGGAAAAATGGTTTCAACTAGGCCAAGAGAGGGGGCGTGAGATTGGCTATGGGAGTGGGAGAGGGGGAATGGCGGTGGGAGTTGGGGTTGGAAGGAGTGAACAAACTCGGGTGGAGGTGTCTCAACCTACGGCTCGGGTGGGTTCGGATATCGGCGGTGTGGGTGGGTTGGGCAGTGATGGCGTTGGCGGTGAGGGGGTGGGGGTTCGGGTTGATCCGAAAAGAAGGAGGACGGAAATTGGGGAGGTGAGTGCTTTGAATGGGGACATGGTTGTTGATTCTGATTCTTTGATGGCGGGACCTGTGGATCAGGTCTGCCGGTCCCAATGAGTACCTTAAGTTGGAATTGTCGTGGCTTGGGTAATCCACAGACAGTTCGCGTGATTGAGGACATGGTGTCCTCCAAGAAACCCGACTTTGTATTTCTCATAGAAACCAAGGTTGACCGTGATCATGCGGAGCGTCTTCGGGTTAAACTTGGTTTTGATGGACTTTTTTGTATTGACAGTTCTGGTTTGAGTGGTGGATTGGCTTTGTTGTGGAGAGAAAATAATACAGCGACATTGATTAGTTATTCCGCAAACTATGTGGATGTTGAGGTGACTATGCCGGGGTTTGAGAAGTGGAGAATGACTGGATTTTATGGCTTTTCGCAGAGGGGTCAGAGGAGAGACTCGTGGAATCTTATTCGTACCTTAGCTGGCAGATCAAATCTACCATGGGTGATGATTGGAGACTTTAATGATTTACTTTATCAATCTGAGAAGCGGGGGGGAAACCCTCATCCTCTGAGTTTATTGCATGGATTCGGTGAGACTATAGAGGAATGTGGATTAGCGCAGATGCCAATGATGGGATATCCGTTTACCTGGGAAAAAGGAAAAGGCACACCGAATTGGATAGAGGAAAGGTTAGACAAGGTCTTGACTAGCCAAAGATGGCGGGAGATTGTGCCGGATGCTAGTGTGCAAAATATATTAACCCGAAAGTCCGATCATTCTGCTCTTTTCCTTGGGATTCTGAATCTTCGGGAAAGGACGGGTGGTCTGAGAAGAGGGTTTCGTTTTGAGATGGCATAGCTGCATGATAAAGGATGTAGGGATGGGGTGGAGAAGGCATGGAATGATGGCGCAGGAAGAGAGTTGCAGGAATGTATCTCTATTTGTGGACATCGTTTATCGCGTTGGGGAGGAGAGCATTTTCATAAGTTTGGTGAGCGGATCAGAAACCTGCGGAATGAACAGTTGCGTCTGAGGGGGTGAAATGATCCGGTCTCATTGGCTGAGTTCCAACGTTTGGAGGAGTGCCTATGTCGTATTGAGGCCCAGGAGGACACATACTGGAGGCAGAGAGCCAAGCAGCATTGGCTAAAGAACGCGGATGCTAACACGAAATACTACCACAGGTATGCATCTCATCGCAAGAAAAAGAATACTATTTTAAAAATTATGAATGGTAGTGGGGATTGGGTGGAGGGTGAAGCCATGAGGAACGTTATCTACGACTATTATAAGACTATCTTTACCTCCGACTCCCCAAGAGATAGTGGGGAATTCTTTGGAAATATAGCCTCTCGGGTATCACAAGTACAGAATGAGTTGCTCTTGCGGCCTTTTGATGCTAGTGAGGTAAAGAGTGCTTTATTTTCAATGTTTCCTGACAACGCACCAGGACCGGATGGAATGAATCCGGGCTTCTACCAGCATTTTTGGGATATAGTGGGTGGTGATGTATCGGCCTATATTATGAATTGTCTTAATACTCGCTCGTTTCCAACTTGCCTGAATGATACAAATATAATATTGATCCCAAAGAAAAAAAATCCCTGAGATGGTCTCGGATTATAGACCGATAGCTCTGAGTAACGTGGTGTACAGGATTATGGCTAAGGTTATAACTGCCAGGATGAAAACGCTTATGGGGGATATTATATCTGACACCCAAAGTGCTTTTATTTCTGACAGGCTAATAACGGATAATATTTTGATTGCTGCTGAGGTAGGACATTTTTTGAATAGAAAACAATGTGGAGTCATAGGGTGGGGGGCTTTGAAACTGGATATGGCTAAAGCCTATGACCGAGTGGAGTGGCCCTTCCTGCGTGGTATGATGTTAGCGTTGGGCTTTGATGAAAGGTGGGTGGATTTGATAATGCTGTGTGTGACCTCAGTTTCATATAGTATACTGGTTAGTGGAACACGAAGTGACCAGATCGTCCGGACTCGTGGATTAAGGCAGGGTGACCCACTGTCACCTTATCTCTTTATTATTTGTGCTGAGGGACTTTCATTGTTACTACAGCAGGCACAATTGAGAGGAGATCTACACGGGTGCAGAGTAGCTAGGGGAGCCCCCCCTATATCTCACTTATTTTTTTGCAGATGATAGCTTGCTCTTTTTTAGAGCAACTGTGCAAGAAGCCAATGTGGTGAAACAATGTTTATCGGTGTATGAGGAAATGTCTGGGCAAGCAGTGAATTACTATAAGTCAAGTATTTGCTATAGTAAGAATACGCGGGATGAGCATAGAGATGAGGTTGCCAGTATATTGGGAGTGGTTCAGGCTCCGAATTTTGGGAGGTATTTAGGACTCCCATCGTTTGTGGGCAGGAATAGGAGAGCAGTGTTCTCATATATTGATGATAAGGTAAGACAGCGGATTGGGTCCTGGAATAAGAAATTGCTTTCACAGGCGGGTAAGGAAGTATTGTTGAAAAGTGTGGCACAGTCTATGCCCACCTTTTCTATGAGTGTCTTTTTACTACCTATGAATACTTGCACAGCCATTGAGAGAGCTATGAATCGTTACTGGTGGAGATCTAAGGATGATCAGGGCATCCATTGGAAGGCATGGGATAAATTATGCATCCCTAAGAAGTATGGGGGATTGGGCTTTAAAGAATTGCATGCCTTTAATTTAGCTATGCTGGGGAAACAGGCCTGGCGTTTACTCACCAAACCTGAATCACTGGTTTCCAGAATATATAAAGCCAGGTACTATCCTAAAGGGACATTCTTTGATGCTTGTATAGGAAATAACCCCAGTTACTGCTGGCGTAGTATTATGGCTGCACAGGAATTAATTTGTGGGGGAGTCAGGCGCAGGATTGGGAATGGGAAAGGAACTCTTATCTGGGATCATCCATGGCTTCAGGATGAGAATAATGCGAAAATAATCACTGACAAACCACCATATTTGGCACAGGCAACTGTAATGGGATTAATAAATCAAGAAACGGCGGCTTGGGACCAGGATATTTTGACTGATATTTTCATTTCGGAGGATGTGACACGGATATTGAAAATACCAGTGGCACCAGATTATGAGGATATGTGGTATTGGCATGGTGATATAACAGGTGAATATTCAGTTAAAAGCGGTTACAGGCAAATAGTGGGAAATTATGTAAAAACGACAGGGATGTTTGATAAATGGCCCAAATTATGGAAGCTCAGAGTACCCCCGAGATGGAAAACATTTTTATGGAGAGCCTTGAATAATATATTGCCCACAACAACGAACCTCATTATAAAGAGAGTGGAGATTAGCCCAGCATGTGCTATGTGTGGGATTATGCATGAGAATGTTATGCACTCTTTGGTTGAATGTGATTATACAAGGAACATTTGGGCACAATCTCACCTTCCAATCCCCAGTACTATCACAGATATTTTCCATGTTTGGTTTAATGACATATTAAATATTCTAGATGATGATGGAATTATTTATGCAGTAGGCCTACTATACTATATATGGCGAGCGAGGAATGGAGCTGTGTGGGATGCATACTTGCCCAGACCACAAAAGATAATTGCAACTGTAACCGCAGCGATCCGGGCATGGCAAATAGCACACCCGGACCGCCCGATGCAGCAACGTGCTCCGCGTGGACTGGCCACGGCAATCCCCGAGCAGCACCAAAGTGCGGCATTGCAGCCTGCTACCGTTCTGCCCACACTCCTTGCGGCTGCCTCCGTACGGAAGAGATGTTACTTTGACGCGGCCTTTTTCCAGGCCACAAGTAAGGCCGCTGTTGGGGCAATTTTCCTAGACGAACAGGGATCGTATATCACAGCTCTACAGGCGCCATTGATAGACTGTTTTTCCCCGCTTATGGCAGAAGCAATTGCATGTAAAGAAGTATTATCCTGGCTATGGGATCGTGGAGAGAGATCGGTAGACATACTAACTAACTGTTTGTCACTACAACAGTATTTATCGCAACCGAAGGAAACACCACGTTCGTACCTCGGCTATGCCATTGACACCTGCAGAAACCGGATGGTTTCCTTTGATTATGTTTCAGTTAATTATGTTCCTAGATCTGATAATTGTTTAGCACATATTTTAGCCACTTCGGCCTTTAATTATTCAGCACCTATGTACTCGGACAGTGGTCCGCCACACTCTATTTCAGCATATTTCCAATGAATGCCGCCCAGGCTCTTTTCAAAAAAAAAATACTATTTTAGTTTGGTAGAAAGTTAATTGAAATACTAGGAGAAATTTATATAGCTATATGTGTTGGAATATATAGCTATATGCTTGAGTTTTATATAGCTATATGCTTGAGATATATAGCTTTATGCTTGTGATATATAGCTATATGCTTGAGAATTTTAATGCGAGTTTGGATCTTTTCGTGCATAAGGTTTATGCATTTTGAAGCTATATGCTTCAAAGTTACACTTAACATGCTTGGTATATGTAGTTGTATGCTTGAGATTATTGAACTACATATATGTATATTATTTAAAGGAATATATATATATATATATATATATATATATATATATATATGTATATGTATGTATGTATATAATTTTGCATACAGTTACTGACTCAAATTTAATACTTTCTCCACTAATAGATATATCATTCAGGATATATCTTATCTTGTGGAAGTTGAGTTTTAAATTACAGCAACTTCAATGTAACTTCTCCAAATAGATATATTTTGCATCAATAAATATTTTGGAGAAACATTGAAATAAATAATGCAATAAACTTACATAAGACTAAGATATTTCACAGTATTGC